CTGGTGTGTTGACTGCGCAGACTCATTGGCATGATTGAGAGCAAACGTGAGCGGTCACGGGCCTACGGCAGGGCGTGGCCAAGTAAAAAATAAAAAATCCAAAAAATCGCTAGTTTTATTTAAATATAGCTAAAATAGCTCCTTGTCGCAAAAAATTAAAAAAAAGTCGCAGCTACAATGAGAAAGTAGCTAAATTTGGTGACAAAATCCCCAAATTGGCAACACTGATTTTGATCTGTCTCATTATTTACAATACAGCTCAAAAGAACTCGCTCTCATCCTCTGACACCGCTTATAAATTCGTATTGGGTCGTTAAAAAATAACTATATCGATGTCCTGTGTTGCAGGTGGGATTGAAAATATAAACAATGGAAAGGGTAAAAATGAGCCTTTAATAGCCATGTTTACTTGCCTTTTATTCATGCAGAATTAGTGTATGTCTCCACCTTGTGGCTGTGAAGGAAACAGAGCTTCAGAGATTTCAAACAGAAAAAGTAAAGCTGGGAGCGCTGTACCTTTTCATAAGGAGCAAGACAAACTGTTTTATTTTCTCACGTGAAATAAGTAACACTAACTCTCTTAACAATGCCATTAATAGCCTATATATATTGATAATATACAAAGTGCCACAGTTAATTGTAAATATTTCCAGCAAGAAGCAATGTTTTACGCATATAAAAGAACATTTTGTGGAGACTATTTACATGTAAAATATTAATAAATTAATTAATGCATCTTTTATCATTATCATGAAATTCGGCAACTGTGTAACTTACTGCGCTGTCAAACGACTTTCTGCCGCTAGATGTCACTAATATTCTCGATATAGCATCAGTTAACACGGTGACCAGTAGGAAGGTTACTAAATATTGCGTTTATTATGAATAGTTATATTATAGTATGTTCATATAATTATTTGTATATAATAAATTCATCTATTATATAATTTCAGAGCTCGTTTAATTTTGACATCCTACTTGATCCAACGCAGAAATCGTACTTCATTCCTTTTTTATTATGACATAATAATAAAGGTTATGATATCATAACGAAGGGTTGTGATATTAATTCAATTGATATTACAAGCAGTATATGAATGTTGAGGTTGTTGAACATTTTGCCTGCCAATGATAATCCCTACCCTGTACGAGTTAATGGGTTTCTGACAGTGGAGGTGATGCCCATGGGACCATATACCAACAACTCACCAGTGTGAGTGGACATTATCTTTCCTTTGAAGCCTAATTGCTTTTCCTCCTCAGCAGAACAAGATAATTTGGGATAAATCCCATTATGTGTTTTCTGAGACGAAGCACATACTGTAATCTGCCTTTAAGTTGTACATAGTGGTAGTTCTGTACAACATACAGAACTACCACATTTTGCTATAAGTTTGATTGCATCGTATAATAATTGCTGTTAATAGTGTTCATCGTCTGTTTTATTATCATTAAAGCAAATAGGCTATCTTTTATATAAGCTACTGAGTGCATATGCGCTCATGCAGTCCTGCAGAACTGCATATCGAGGGAAAGCATGCATGGCGCAGCGCTTTTTCAGCATTTGTCTTACCAATAATACTGCACGTCTTTCTGAATAGAGCTTTTCACTGTCTGAAACCATCCCAATATCTGATGTGCACGCGTCGACTCATCCACTCAGCAATTGCGCATGCGCGTCGGTTGGCTCATGTTGTCTCTCCGCAGGAATGACGAACCTCGCTCCACACTGGTCGACAGAGACAGGGAAACTGAAAATATTCATTTGGTGGAAATAAAGAGGATACGATCAATCACTTCCGAACAAACACCGGAGGACGTCGCCAAACTGGACATTGTGGAGACAAAAGAAGATTTTTAAAAGGACCGGTCCTCTCCCACTTCAAAGCTGACGTCTCCTGTATGAGTATAGCTGTATATTCAGTGGCAAAACATTTTCTAGATGTGATGTCTGTGGTGTTTGTCAACAAACTGCGTGTGATAATGGGCATCTGGACATGCTTTGAAGAAAACGACTGATGCTACATCGAAGAAACGCTTAAAATGTGACCGTTCCAGTGAGCCTCTATCCCTCCACTTTGTCGGATTTGAGGAGGCGTCTACTGGGAATAAGGGGAGTGCATGTGTCTCGTTTTGGAGAGAGGAGGGTGTGTGCGCGCTGGAGCTGTCCGTTCAGAACCACACACACACATCTGCCACCAGCGGTGCACCACAAGCCATCAGCCTCGCACCTTCTCTGGACCTCATGGTGCGGAGCGTAAATTTATGATAACCTCTGCATTCATTTAACGTCTGCAATTTCTTATTTTCTCTTGGCATCTGGAGGCAATCCCATATTCACCTGACAAGAACATCAAACGCTCATGCAGCGGTTTCCTGCAGTTGAGCTGCCTTTGCGCGCCTGTTTTTCTGCGTTTATTCAGTTCACTCTCTTTTTTCCGTTGCCTAACAATTGCGCACATGTATCCTCCGGGTCTTTCAGCGTTGTAATGCCTGGCCCGGGCTCGAGACATGCCTAAGCGACGAGATGGGCCAGGGCGACGAGAAAGACCGTGTTGTGATTAACGTGGGAGGGATTCGACACCAGACCTACCGCAGCACGCTGCGCACTCTCCCCGGCACTCGTTTAGCCTGGCTCGCCGAGCCCGATGCCCACAGTCACTTTGACTATGACGCCCAGATCGACGAGTTTTTCTTTGATCGCCACCCCGGAGTTTTTGCACACATTCTCAATTATTATAGGACTGGCAAGTTGCATTGCCCCGCTGATGTTTGTGGCCCTCTTTATGAGGAAGAGCTGGCCTTCTGGGGCATCGACGAGACAGATGTGGAGCCCTGCTGCTGGATGACATACCGGCAGCACCGGGAGGCCGAAGAGGCGCTGGACAGTTTCGGCGGAGGGCCAGCTGAAATGGGCAACGATGATATGGACACAGAAGTTTTGGGTGATCCAGGGGATGGAGACGAGGAACTTGAGATGACTAAACGCCTGGCCCTCGGCGACTCACCTGACGCAAAAGGTGCAGGGTTGTGTCAACGTTGGCAGCGGCGTGTTTGGGCGCTCTTTGAAGATCCATATTCCTCTAAATATGCAAGGGTGAGTGATGAACAAGTTTAAAAGTGGCAACCCCGCTGTTCACTACTTGTAATATATCCAAACACGTGTTGCTTTGAATTAGAATAGCCTGCCAATATTAAAGTGCAATTGAGCTACTCAAAAAAGATATTAAAAATACAATTAATACAAAAAACATAAATACAATTTATTATAAAATAAAAATTATCTGTACATATCTTTTATAATGAACAACTGTCAAGACAAAAAAAAAATGCGTTATTAAAAGGCTGAGATTCTTTGAAAAGATATTTTGCCTAAATAGTTTGGCATGATATTTTCTTTCAAAAATGAACAGTAAAGCATATAACCTTGGAAAAACTTTTGTCTGCCACATCCTAGTCACTATGGCTTAACCAACATGGAAGGAGCCATTTTGTCATGTGATAAAAAAAAACCCACAAACAAACAAGCAAACTCGTGAGATACTTAAGTTTTTTTTCACCCCAGGTCAATGACTTAACCCTGAGAAAATCTTATTCTATGACTCAAAAATTATATATATATATATATATATATATATTTTTTTTTTTATAATGATAGTTGTATACTCATGTATTTAAGATGCAAGCAAAGTTGCAATTGATGCTTACACCACTTGACATTAGTTCAAATTTTTTAAATCAGAAATGTTATAAACTATATTTTTAAGCTAAATTTTTTTTAAATGCATGAAACATGTTTAGAAAGCTAATACAGATAACTTGGTCTATGTGTTTTTATATCGTTTTTAAAGGATCTCTCCTTTTTATAATTTTCAACATCCTTATTTGACCCATGAAATATTTTTGAAAGCTGATCTCAATGTACAGTTGCTATTGAGCCAAACAAGAAGAAACTGGTTGTCTATATATTTGACCGCGTGTTTGATAAGATTATAAATCTCGCATTTCCTATAGCATTATTAGCGATATATCAAACTGAAGCAACTAATTTGGGTCACCCTGGGGAAAACATGTGCAGTCATTCCAGGCGTCTTGCATGTAGCATTGATCGACAGCTCCTCTGACTGCAATACTGCTGTGCCACGCGCCATGAGCTCCCTTCCCTGCCGCAGGCGTGCTCGTGCACAAATTAATCACTCCGTGAGAACATTAAAGAGAATACATCACGAGGCAAAGGCTTTTCTTTATTTATGTACCCATGCTGCTTTGAGATAAGACACACAAGGCAGATAAAATCTTTTTTTTTCTCAGGAGGTCTGAGAGACTGCACTTGAGATGCTAGATGTGTTAAGCATTTTTTGGTCCTGAGACTTTTTCAGTGGGCATTAGCTGTTGTAATGTGTACAGTAATTGCTGAATACTGTAGATTAAACAGTAGAGCGGGGCTCTGGCAATGCCAAGGTCATGGTTTCAATTCCCAGGGAATGCCAGAACTGGTCAAATGTATGTCTACCAATGCAATGTTAGTTGCTTTAGATAAAAAAAAAAAAAAAGTCAGCCAAATGTGGTCAAGAGGACTGTATGCATTATCTATGGCAATTACAAGGCCAGTCTGGTTTGGACAATTGTGAGATTTTCCTGTTTGTTTTATGCCTGTTTAATAGGGAGTAATAGACCAGGAACACTGCCAAGATCCGGATATTGCACCCTATAGGCTACTGAACACTGATAAACGAGTCAAGGCATGTCGATGTAAAGTTAGAAGTAGAGTGGATTTATGTCAGGAATCAATTAATCAAATGCACTTTTTCTGTGAGTGTGTGATTAGACAACATTGAACTTCTCAAAGCCAGAGGCAAGTGTTCAAGTGTGCCATTACGGAAGTACACATCTTTTACTACAAGAAACACACATGACCATACAGTACCACTTGTTTGTAGATTATTTGTATTATAATTGTAAAAAATATTCACAAAATATTAATTTATTTGATATTTAAATATGACACGCTTTGACATTTTGTCAAATTTGCAACAAAGGTCATTTCATTTGGATGATTAAAACACACACCAAAATATTTGAAATAATGTGGCACATAATAATATTTAATTGGATATTAATTCTTTGCTTATTATTAATGTAATTTCATTTCCTGACATGACTTGTATATTGATTAATAATGTGGTGAAGTGTTTGTGAAGAGCTCTGAATCAGATCTGTGCAAGTCAGCCTTATGGCATTTTCAGTGATAATTGAATCAGCTATTCAGTGCATCTGAATTAATAATAAAAAAATGAGTCATACATCTGAATGAACTGCAGGATTTACCCAACACAGAATGGACATGCCTCAGACAATCTCTGTGTATTGTTCCTGCATGTGTGTGGGAGCATGACCTTGAGAGACAAAGACAAAGAGTTGTTATCCTGTTGTCATCTGGCAGATGTTTGTGCTGGTTTCCAAAGCACCTGATATTTTCATGTCCTTGGCAGGCAAGATGCTGCTTTTTACAGAGTATGTCTTGGGAATAAGTTGTCATGGCAACGCTTTCAGATCTCTAATGAAACAGATGAAAGCTGGTCTTCCTCATGAGATGTCAGAAAACGCGGCAAACTTCTCTGGAGGCTTTCGGATGATGATTTGTCTGTGTACATGTTTGCCCCTGTGTCAGTTAGTTTATTTTGTAAATTCATCATTTAGTATGAAGTTTTATGCAGTGACAAAATATAAGCCAATAAACGAATAAAACACTGGAATTAAATAAAAATCTTCAAGCATATTAGAGAAAGTGAGAGCTGTTGTGAAAGAGAGAATTGTTATGAATTTATCTAGTAATTTGGAGGCTAATAATGTTATTCAAAAGAGGTGATCAGGTTGATTGGAACTTACCACATATTAACATGATAATCAGATAAATTATACAAACAATAAAGGCAATTTGCCTAAAATATGGCCCATACTCATGTGTCTTCCCAGTTGTGCTATACGATATTCCTATAATGTCCTATTCTCCCAGGAGGCCATCTTACATGCTCCAGTGGCCCTTGCTCTGTACAACAACAGGAAAAGTGTTGGTAATTAATGCACTGGTTGATATGTGAATGCACCTGCTGGATGAGGGAATTTGCATGTCTCCCAGATTTCTTCTTCCTCCCAGACTCTACCAATGGAAGCCCCACCAATGTGGGATAGAGAATGGTAGCTGCTAGGGATCTTGTCACACACTTGTCTTGTGAGAAACAAATCAATTCTCACTTTTCCCCATATATATCTCTGGTTAATAACAACTTTTTTAAACAAAGAAAAAATAAACTGTTAAATAAGGGGACATGAGCTTTTTTGTTCATTTTTTGTGGACTTGGATTTTGAGAGTATAATATAAGTAACAATGAGAGTATAATATAGGGAACAATGTATTCATTTAGCAGATACATTTATTCAAAAGTCACTTAAAGATAAAATACAAAACAAGTGATTAATTATTAACAATGCTGCAATCCAACATTTTGAAATGTGATTAGATGAAAAAAGCTAGTTCAGCGCTTTGCTTGTCTATTACAGTATGTAACATTTGCTTTAGTAAAAGAGGAATTCATTCAGGTCATTGGGGTTGTAAAAATACAGATCCAGTTAAAAGCTTATAGTGGGATGTGAAAGTATCAATGACACCCACAGCGTGTTTACAATAAACAGCAGGATTTGATTTCAGATTGTACAGAATGAAAAATACTATGGAAATAACAGGAATCTGTGCATATGGGGATTAATAAAAAATAATAAAACAGAAGTAAAAAAAGATATATTCTTCCATATTGTGACAAACATCCAAGTATAATGGATTTTCGAATAAGAAAAAAAATGTAGGGTAAGTGAGTACTTGGTTCTATACATCGGTTGTTGATTGGATATGGAAATTTCTGGAGTGAAAGGTGAACTAAATGATTGGAGAAGTCCGGCATATAGTGGGTATAGAAAAGAATCACCCCCTTTAAAATAATCACATTTTGTTGCTTTTCAGCCTGAAATGAAGATGGACACAGTTTTTGTTTTATCCAGCTGTATTTACTATAACACCAACATGTCAGAAAAAAATTATCACTGAGAAGTTCACCAGAATCACTGAGTTGGAAAAAGAATGACTTGTAAACTTAATCCGGTGTAGCTAATCACCTTCTCAATGGCACACAAAGCCGTTTGACTTTCAACTGTGATCAGCTGTGGTCATTTTGATTAGCTCAGCATGAAAAGAGCTGCATGTAGCTTTTCAGTCCTTAGTAGTGCAACTGAAGCAAACAATCAACTATGGGTGGCAAGACACTGTCAAAAGATCTCAGGGGAAAAGTTGTGGACAGGCACAAGTCGAGATAGATTCGAAAATGTTCAAAGGCTTTATCAATACATTGAAGCACAGTGAAGTCTGCTATTAAGAAGTGGAAGGTATTTGGTACAACACAGACCCTCCCTGGATCAGGACGTCGCTCCAAACTGGATGAAAGAGCCAGGTGGAAACTGGTCAGAGAGGCTACCAAGAGACATACAGCAACTATGAAACAGCTGCAGGAATTTATCACAAAGAGCGGTCATTGTGTGCATGTGACAACAATATCACAAATCTCCACAAATGTGGCTTGTTTGAGAGGGTTGCAAGAAAAAAGCACTCAAGAAAGGCCACATGCAGTTACCACTGAGCTTTGCTAAAACACACCTCGAGGATTCTGAGGCAGATGAGACTAAAATTGAATTATTTGGCCTCAACACCAAACAATATGTTTGGCAGAAATCCAATACAGCTGACCATCCAAATAACAGCATTCCTACAGTAAAGCATGGAGGTGGTCATATCCTGTTATGGGGTGTTTCTCTGCAGCAGGGACCGGAGCACTTGTCAGGATAGAAGGAAAAATGGATGGGGCAAAATACCGTCAAATTCTTGAGGAAAATCTGCTGCCCTCTGCCAGAATGGGAAGTAGGTTTACCTTCCAAGATGACAATGACCCAAAGCACACAGCAAAACTGACCACACAGTGGTTGAAGGAGATCCTTGCATGGCCTAGTCAAATACGACATGTCTGGGGGAAATCCAATACAGCTCGCCAT